TTCCACGCTTTTGCCAGCCAGCCCAAAAAAAATAGCACAAATTATTACTTTTGCTTCAAAGCGATTCTATTAAGTTAAACGAGAAAAAACAACACATACATATTTTTGTTCAAGTCTCCAATTTGTTTGCTTTGGTGCGTCTTTTCGATTCAATTTCCATTGCTTCTATGCTACGGTTCAATATTTATTTTCCATGCTGTGCTTTCCGGCGCGGTCTGTTGTTGCTGCTTCTGCTGTTGTTTTTTTTTTTAAATTGGAAAATCGGCTTGCGTGTCGATATATTCCCGCAGATATGAACTCTCTTCTCTTTTCTCAGCGTACTTGTATACATTTGTGGGTATCGATAATAATAGTTCACGCACCAAGAAATCCCAACGTTTCAACCGATTTTTTTTTCCTCTCTATTTAGATCACAAATGAAGATGTAATCAAATAATATGTGTTATTACCAACAAGTGAATGATCACATGCTGAGCTTTCACACATCGATTCCGTTCTCATCGAACACACGTTCGAATGCAGTAACAGCTGAAGCACCACTAGTCAGTAGTAGCAGAAGTAGCTACAAGAAAAAAACTCTATTAGGAAACACCGCATATCTAAATACTTTGATAGATGGATGGTTAATTGTCGGTTATCACGAATCGCTACCGATTCATCTCTCTTTCGCAGTGATCTCTCTCTCTCTCTCTCTCTCTTTCTTCGCGTATGTGTGTGCGATTTTGTATCCGTTCATTCAGCGCAGCTTATCTCAGAATGGAATGGGGAGTACGCTATTACAAATGACTAACACCTGATATTTGATTTTATCAATCGCCACCTATCCATATGAAATTTGCGAGGAGATTTTAATATTTCGTTATTGATATTCATTTTTGTTCAAAAGCTTTTCGATGCAATTTCTACATGTAAACTTTCGGCATAGAATTCGTGAATAGTTGCGATGAAACGAGGAAAAAAAAACGTTTCTTTCGAAAATCCAAACATTTCTGCTAAAGTAATAAAACAATATTAAAACTTCCAAAACAGTAACTCTTGAAGCCTGAAAAACAGCTGATCTTCCATTGTTCTGCGGTCAATTTTTTTTTCTCGTGTTTTATGACCATGTCCGTGTAGTTTTCAAGATCGTTTTGCGAAAAGGTGAAAAAATTACAATAAAATTATCCATTCGATTTGTGTGGAACGTTGCAATCGATGCAAAATTACATGTTGTGTGTGCAATGCTAAGGGAATAATATCCGTTTGCATGGTGCAACTGCAGTGTGTTCGAGAACATAAGCGGAAAATATTCGTATAAACCAGCGCAAATCTCGCAATTGATGTGTTTGGTTGTTGTTTTTTGTTGTTGCTTTATTATTTTTGTTTCGTGAATGCGTTCGAATCCGAATACCAATTGAAAAGAAATTAGTTCAATTGCGAGAAAAAGATACTGGACAGAAGTTGTAATGAGTAGAACACGACGCGAGAGTTTTCAAACTCGAACAGTGTTCTCTATGTTTGGAAGTCGAGTTGAGTAGTCTCTCCCTCTCTCTCTCTCTCTCTCTCTTGACTCAAACTTGGTCGAATAATTTCAACACGAAATCGATATGTGGTAGCCAATTTCATCAACCGGCTCCGTATCTTTTCTAATCTTTGAAATTTTTTACAAGTATTTCACCGATTGTTCGCCATGTATTCGCACTGATCGAACGGGGCAACATCAGCAGCAGCAGCAGCAGCAGCGGCAGCAGCAGTAGCAGTAGCAGTAGCGAACACAGTCGTTCGCGCATTTTGTGCGAGCTCATTGTTCTTCGTAAGCATTGACTAATTATTGTTATTGCCCAAATGTTCGTGACTTTCTTTTTCCAATCCGATATAATTCTCCATCAATTATTTTTGATTTATCTATCTGCTAAAATAATAATGGACCCGACACATACACACGCCATATGGGAATGCAGAGCTCAACTCGACAAACCAAAAAAATTGGGTCAAACCCAGTACTACTTTCAAGACAATTGAACATTTCGGGCGCAACTGGCGTCATTGAAATCCACCCAAAATGGATTCCATCTCACAAATTCATTTCTGTAACAAATTTGTTTCACAAGTCTTTTTTGTCCAGTCCATTTGTTATCTCAAAAAAAGTGCGCTCATTGAATCCTTCCGACGAAAACTAAACAGAAGAAGGAAAAAAAAGATGCAGAACGAGAAGAAGACGTTGAATTCTCGAATTATTACGGCCGAGAACGGTTGGTTCAAATGAAAGCTGGGACACGGCGCACCAATACGGCAAAATAACTGAGCGAACGCTCATATGAAAAGAAATTAATAAGAACATTCTAGAAGTAGAGCCACAATTGCAGTTACACTGCATATGACACATATATAAACGAATAAAATGAGAGAGAATAAAAACTGAACGTGAAATGAACAGCAACCAGCGAAGAAAAATAGATGTAAGAATCGAGATATAGCGACACATACAATGTACAGGGAGAGAAAGAGAGAGAGAAAGCGCACGAAAGAAAGACTGTTTGTATACATGCTCGGCTTTGACCATTGACAGTATGCATGCAATGCAAATAAAGAGGTCACTTTTAAATAATTATACGAAGATGTTCCCATTTGCGATGATTTTGGTATTGTTTCTCGCTTTTTTCTCTCTCCATATGACATGATTTCCATATGATTCCATCATAAGTAATTTGTGCTGCACTTTATATCTATACACATTTCTTTTTTCATTACATTACGAATCGAAATGTTGCACCCAAAACATGGTCTCTATGGGTGTGTGTGTGTGTGTGTGTGTGTGTATGTATAGAATTGCATTTATAGAATGAAATTGATGTGTAATCATCAAGTCGATACGTTCCGGCATGGAACTGATGTTGTAATTACGAAGAAAAAAAATGCAGTTTGTACGATGTGTGTTACACTCGATGGAATATCACGTAATTTTTCCCCATTTTCATTCACATTTCGCTAGTGTGTATCGAATTTTAGTTGCTCGATAAAATCAACTGAAACAATGTTGAATGCGGCGGCTATTTTAAAACAAGGTATACACATACACATTCAAACCATGCTCACGCGCACACACACACGCATACACAGACGCATCGAAATGGAATCGGTAAGAGAAGATGTTTTGGATTATATGCTTCACGCATTCTATGCTATTGCTTGCATAAGAATCATCAGTGTTGTTTAATGCTTCGATGCACTCGGAAATAAACAACACGGCCAACCGAGCTGGAAAATGAAAGAAAACAAGAAGAAAAACAAAATCAAAACCGATTATTATTATTACCGATCGTAAATAATCATAGACATATTTCACGAATGGGCCACCGATTCCATTCGATGCAAAAAGGCTGTGTTGAGTTCAATAGATGAGCCGCGCGAATGGGCGCCAAACCAAAATTGCAAACTCATTCAATGGGAGTGCGTATTGTACTTGGATGGCGAGAGGGAATGAAAATTGTTAACTGCGAGTGAGTGTGCGTGTGTGCGCGCCTCAATCAATGCATTGACAATGGTTATGAAAAGCGAAAACTGCATGATTGTTTGTCATCGGTCATGGAAAAATGCGTCGAGGAAAAAATAGCACTTTTCGTTTCAATCATTTCTCGGAAATCTTCATCGATCATCACGTTATAATTGTTGATGCGCGCAAGTGTGCGCGCATTTGGTGTGAGCAATTTTCAAAGGAATGCCCATGCTCAACCGAATAAGCGAATATCGTCAGAAAAGAGAGAAATCATTATTTGCCCAACCACAATTGCAGTTTCTGTTTTTTGTACGGAAACGATTACCGTATTATATGCCGGCCTGTATATCAAATCGCCAATTGCGTATACAACAATGTATTTGAAGCGTTATCAATTTGAACTCTAATTATCCAACATTTTCATTTTGTTTTGTTCCATCTCTCGTTTTTCACTTAAAAAATATCAACCTGATTAAGAGTGTACAGTGGCATCGAGTAGAACGCATTTTTGTCTCACACTCCATCTCATTCAATGTGTGTAGGAAATGTGTAGAGAGCCAAACTAAAAGTATAAGAACCACACACATACACATCAGAGACTAATTGGTGTTCACGCAAAGCATGTAAACAAGGTATGAGGATTGAGAAACAATACCAAATTGTTACGAATTATACACATTATTATGGCGTTTGTGCGGCGTCTGGTTTTTTTTCTCATTCGTGTGCATCCCATTGTTCGATTGACGTACGGGTGCGGTTGACTTTGGTGGCTCGCACACAAACGAATGGAACTGTGGAAACTGGAGACATCAGCAGCAGCAGCAGCAGATCATTTATTTACTTTTGCCTATTCTTGTGTTGGAGGGAGTGCCGAGAAGAACATTTTGTTTTCTTTAGAATCCATTATGCGTACGAATACGTTTTCATTTCGTTGTTGTGATTTCTGTTGGCCAAAAATCACATATATAATACAATTTCATTGTGTTAATTGGCTGGTCAGCCATTGAATATAATACAATGAAGTGGTTAAATAGGGAGCCACCAAACAAACAGTTCTTGGTCCGATATAGTGTATTCATCCGAAACAATTTCGGGCTCTGGTGGTTTGCACACCATGATGTTAGACAGTCAACTGTTCCTATGAATTATATGAGAAAGATTGGATGACGGCAAGAGACATCGAATTAGAATAAGAAAGGAAACGAACAAGTGAGATAGCAAAAGAGCTAAAGAATATAAAGAAAAACTTGAAAATTGGCCTCCGTGGCAGCATGAAGTTCATGCCGAATGAAATGAATAAAAATCGAGATTTAGAGAGAGCGAGAAAAAGTGAGTGATTGTGTGATAATTAAAAAAAAAACAAGAATCCACTCGAATCCGCTCCATCATTTTCTCGATCCCGCGGCGGGATTCCCGCCACATCTATTCTAATTTACATTATTTTGTTCACTTGACCGTTTGCTTGCATTCTCTTTTTTCACAATTTTTTTTTTCGTTTTCTTGTTTCGTCCAATTTATATTTTAGCTAAGTTTATTATGTAATTCGCGATCATTATTCACCATACACAAACAACCCGGAAACCAGACAATCCTCGTCACAACAGAAAATCACCAAACGAGCTTTAATCGTCAGATAACGGCCAACATACCGAAACGATAGAGAAAAACCAATCCAAGTGCATAGATCGCGATCGAGAGCATTTTCAAGAACGAGACGAATATTTCAGTTGGCAAAGTGAATTGTACATTCCATCGCCGAACAACAGTGTGTTTGTGTCTGTATTTGAACTTATTGAATTTTGTGCTACGTTTTGTGCGCGCACCGTTGACCGTTTCGTTTCTTCATCTCTCTATTTAATTCGTTCTATTCTTGCGAATTGTCGTGTGCGATATCGAGAGACAGAGAGATACATGTAAACAGTCTAATTCGATCTTACATAATAATAAGATAATTTAAAATTATATTAGAATTGCATTTTAAACGAGCGAACGACAAAAGAACCAACGCAGAACCAACTGACAACGAATCGACGAACGAACGAACGAATCTAACGCAAGTCTTTCTAATGCAGTCAAATCAAAACTGATGATACTAAAGAAAAGAAAAATCAACTAATTTAACGAAAATAACGAAGAGAGAAAGAAGCAAAACAAAAACAAAAGAATAAAACAAAAAACACACAAACAAAATACCATAATCGGTGGTAAAATATAAAACGCAATTGGACGCAACAGTAACAAACGAAAAAGAAACACAACGACCGAGACAAAATCGCAGGCAAAACTAAAACAAATAACCACAACAAAGTAACGACAAGAAAAGAAGAGAGAGAGAGAGAGAGAGAGAGAGAAAGAGAGAGGGCAACAAATATAATACCAATCTCGTGTGAACAACATCCATCTAACTGTGAGAGAGTGATCTCTGGGCGATTGATGAGGCGGTCGGTAATCGTGAAAGCGAAAATGGAATTTCAGTGGAAGTATTTACTGGTAAGTAAATTCCATTATTATAGAGGTAAAGTTGGAATAATTTTCTTGCAATTCATCATGTTCTCTTCAATAAGACAGTATTTTGTTTTGTTCGTTCATTTTGTGTACCATCGTAACCCATACATCGATTATTGTAGTAGTAGTTTTAAGCAATTTCTATAACAAACTCTATAAGCAGACAAGGAAGCAGTTCAATAATTGTATCAATCAACTGTTGTTCTACGGCCACCGATTGGATTTTTAAAGCCGGTTCAGAGTTTAACGAGTTGTGGATACAAGGCGAAACAAATGCGCTCACGCGTTCCTTCATTTCGAAGGGCGTAACGGTTAACTACGATGAAAACCGTTCGAAAACGCACAATAATATACGGCAGTTATTCAACACATACAACGTCGTTGACGAGAGCAAGAAAAGGAGAGAGAGAGAGAGAGAGAGAGAGAGAGAAGGAGTGAGAAATAGAGAAAAGAGCTCTTGAACTCAACTTATCAAGCCAATTTCCACCGAATTAGATCGCATGTGATAATCCAAGTTATCACAATCATCGGAGAAAATGACTTTTTACGAGCAAATAATAAACTCGAAAATTATTTTAAAGTATGTGCTCTGTCTTTTTCTCTCTCTCTCACCCTCTCTGTGTATGTATTCAATCAACAATTAGTTGATGCAGTTTGACGGAACACAATTTTCATCCATCAATTTTCCACGTCACAGCCCGATGTAGATGATAATGATTGATTACGACGCCCGTCATTCTCGTAACGACACAATTAATGAATTATTCCAAACAAAAAGAAAAAAATCAAAATTACTATTATCGGACAGCACACAAGGATTATTTAATACGGTTATCAACATATACTGTTATGTTGTAATATCCAAATAAATGCTATCCGTTGCATAATTCATCATTTCGATGATTCTCCCATTTGAGAATCGTTCTTTTTTTTAATCGTATGGCATTTCTTTAGAAAGATGAGTCCGAGATGACGGCCCATTTGCAAGGGAATTCCATCAATTATCTCTTTGTATGAGAGAAGAGAATCGAATGCTTCATGGAATTAATTAACGTTTCGATGTTCATAAATTAAAACCTCACCGTTCAGAACTCATTTCTGTCTGTTTAATGACTGTATTTTTTTTTTAATCGATTCACCGCAGTTCATTTATTGATGTTCAATGTTTTGAATTAACTTCTGAAAATTCAATCATTTCCATGATATTAGAAGCTTCAATCGAATTTGCTAAAATCCAAGTAAGATTCACACATTCAAACAATTTTATTTGATGGCCGTATTTACAAAATTGCAAGTTCGAATGTAATTACGGATAACGGATATGGTTGATTTTCGAGAGTGAACATGCTTAATTGTTGAATTCCATATCTAATTAATTCGAAATGTCACAGAATTTAGTCGTATTTGAGTATAATGATTGAGGAGTCTGAGACTTAGATACAACACTCAAGGAGTAAATATGGATTTGTTCTGACGACGGTGGTTCCAAATGTTGCATTGCCAGAAAAATATCCAAAAAAGATACTGCTGAATTCGGTACAATGTCATGTTAGTAGCAGTAGCAGTGGCGGCGGTTACTTAGTTGTAAAGGGATAATATGCAATAAAGCTTAATCACTTATTCATTCCGTTGCGCATCAATTTTGCGTGCTTTAATTACACGGAATAAAGCAAGCACAGTTTCACATTCGAGCAAATGATGTGAGGAACTGACCGATTATGTGGAATTGGATTCAACACGAAAAGTCCCGTGCTATAAGCGTTGAAAGAAAGTTGTTGTGTCGTTTCGTTCATAAACCGTTAGTCTGTGGCTCTGTCAATTCGGCTATATTTAAATCAGATTATTTCAGAAAATTCATGGTGCAAAAAGAAAAAGAAAAAAATAAATAAATAAAAAGCGAGAAAACGGAATAACACGACTGAAATAAAAGCTCCAAATCGAAATCGAATTTGTAATAATAAAATGAAAACGGTTCAACCACGACAAACGAAAGAAGAAAAAACAAACAAACAGAAGAATTAACGATACAAAGATGGTAAAAACAATGGGAAAGTCGGTTGTTTTTATATTACCCATTAAGAAATAAAGACGGATTAAACGGTTGTAGTTCATTTTGTGAGTGAGAGAGTGTGTTTCATTTTATATTTTGTGTGTGTATGTGTGTGTTTTTCGGCATGGTGTGTCGTGGAATGTGTCTTGAATTGCATTGAATACGATTTAATTTGGAACTAGCGTGTGCCCCCTTTTTTCCGTTCGTTCATTTAATTTCCATTTATTCTTTATATCAATTTATGTTATCACGGCTATGTTTTGTTTATTTGTGGTTTTTTTGTCGTCGTCGTCGTCGTTGGACGTCGTGTTATTTGGTTAGGAAGTGGGTTTGCGTGCACTCGAGTCATGTTCGAATTTTCATCGATCGACTCGATATTCGCAAATAACCAATTCATGAGCCACTCAAATTGACAAAACAAAGAAATCATGTCAAACAATCGAAAAACCCGAAACAACCAAGCACAAGAAAAATAAAACACGGAAAAGACCAAGTAGAAAAATATCGAACTGTCGTTAGCGCACTGCGCACTGTGCTCAATTTCACAAATTAGTGTGTTTAGCTTTTCCACCAAATAGACTTAATTTTTTGAATTGGAAGAATTCGCAAAACCACCGCTGATTATCCGTTTTGCGCAAGGCTCTTTTTTGCTGCTTCGCATTTGACCAAATGACCGTTATCTATCCGCTTGAAATAGCCAGACGCTGGCAGAAAGGAACCGAGAAAAGAACGAAAAAAACATATCGACGTACTTATTCGCAGCCAAATGGCAATTTTGTATTGGTCGCTTATTAAAAAAAAGAAAACATAATATTTAACCCAATAAAATCATTGAGCCTTCGTTTAAATGATCATTAACGACATAATTGATTTCTCTTCAATCTCTCTCTCTCTCTCGAATATATTTTCTCTTTGCGCGATTCGATCGTGTACATTTCCCAGGAGCGTGCTAAGTGGTACGATTTAAGTCATTTTACCACATCGAAATAGAGAGAGAGAGAGAGAGAGAGAGAGAGAGAGAGAGAGAGAGAGAGAAATACATAAGAAAACAAATAATGCCTTCAAGGCTCGCTCGGTTTCAAGAGCGCCAACAACGAACGAAGGAGGCAGCAAAAAAAATTCTTGGGAAAATGAAACCGAAAACCTTTAATTACAATTTCGGATATCGATTAGAAAATCTAATTTCACTGAATTTCACCTCGAAGGCACAGATAGTGTGTGTACATAGGAATTCGATTCAGCCGGCTTGTGGATAGATAAAGAAAGGCGGCCAATGAGATGGATTTCATTTGGATCAGCGTCTTTGGCTCCCCTTTCAGTGCGACTTCGATTCAATACAAGAGCAAGATGGAGCAAGACAAAAGAGAGAAAAGCGAACGAATAGAATCGGGTCCCGGTGCACGAGCGCGCACAGATCTTGATCCTATCGGTCATTGCGATAGATATTGCGTTGAATGTGTAAATACATGTCGAATCCAAGAACATGTTCCCCCCGTATTCTTGTGAGTTTTAAACGAAAGAAAAGTAAAAGAAAAAAAAACACATCCCAACATTACCATTTGCGATAAGATCAAAATTCAATGCTAAACTCTGCAATTAATTTCCACATTGAATCCGGCACAATAAGAACAATCACATCTCTCGGCGAATGTGCTCGCTGGTTCGTTCGATTCGTTCATTTGTTTACTTGCTCGACATCGAAATAGAAAATTTATTCATCAAATCCGAAAGTAGAGTTTCTTTAATCCACATAATTCGATAACGATCAACACTTTGCTATTTTATTTCGCACTGTATTACTGCCACCACTCGCCCGTTGTTATTTTCCATCTTTTTTTTCTCTCTCTCTTGATCAGTCCCTCGATCAGCACTCGCGCTGAATCGAATGCAAGTTGATTCGTGTGTGCTTTTTTCTTCTTCTTCTTCTTCTTCAGTTCAGCAGCGAGGGAGAAATGAAATCAAGTCGAAAGGCGATTCAATCGAAATCGAAACGAATTGTGCGCGTCGCGATGATGGAAGAAAGTACGAAAAAAAAGGTTCTAATGTCGACCTGATTCATCTGCATACATTCCAATTATATGGCATTTTAAAATAACAGTGCAGTGGCAAGCGCATCGGAAGACCACAAGAAAAGAAAAAAAAAAGAAAAAGAAACGGCCAGCTGGAACGAGTGGAAAAATGAAACGATCGACCGAGAAAACCGTTGCAATTGGTTTTTGCAGTCGAGTCGAGATCCCGTTCAACTTTGATATTCGATTCGGCCAAATGTCAAACGAGAAGAGAAGAGCAGAAAAAAAACAGCATCCGTCCTCTTAAAATCGTGATCGACTTAACACAGAAATTAACATGAAATATGTAATCGATATGCTCGAGGAGTCGATCGATCGGGTGAAAGAGGGAGAGAGCGGATAGATGCACATTGCACACTGACTACTTTTGCACGAGAGAAAATGAAATTGCCATCTAAACAAACAGTAAGCATGCTATACACATACCATACCGTAACAGCCCAGCAGCGGTTATTGAATCAAAATGATTGCGCCCATTTTTATTAATCCTCATTCCGTAGGCTAGCTCAAAGAATGAAATTGAAATACCAAATGCGCGATGACTTTAAATTCTTCGGGCGCTGTTGTTATTGCTGCTGCTGCTGCTGCTGCTGCCGCCTTTACTTGTCTACAGATCACTTTGCTTTCATGTTACACTTTTCGCTTGTTACGCTCATAATTTCATAGAAGCTAAAGCTTGAGCTGCCGTTTGGCTTTGTTTTTTGAATTACGGATGATTAAATTTCATTTATACTTTTATAAATAAAAAAAAATTTCTCGTTCGCTCTCTTCTCATTCTTTCGGTTTACTTCACATTTGATGTGTCGAATGGAACAGATTCCCATTTGAAATCGGCTATCTGAATCTTTCTTGGATTCCGCGCACTG